CTTATAATGTCTTTTCAAGTCATCTTTCCGTTTTGCCTGTAGCTATTTTCAAATTTTTTATTTATTTTTGTGGAGATTTTGTACAATTTTTCTTATATTTCTCATTTTTTTCATTCATTTCATTCAGAATTCATCTATTCATTTCATTGTCCATCCATCTATCCACTTAATTTTCCATTTCCTTGAATCCTCTTCTTTTATCGTTCCTAATTATCAGAGAGCTAACACTTTCAAACAAGTGGCTAAACAAAAGTCTACGAAAGAACTTCTAGTAAACAACGCTTTAAAACTTTCGTGGCAATCTAGGCGATAGRCTCAAATGGGAAAGTCTCTGCGATTCGGCGTCAAGAAACATGGGCGAATCAAAAGGCTTATTTAAGTCCCTTCGCGCCAAAGGMATWAGCCCCGACGTGGACAGAGCTCTGCTTCTGCCTGGCTGTTGACACTCCGGCATGGAGGTTTTTACAGGCGGGAGAATATCCCCAGTTATCAAACTTTCACTTGACGCGGATAAYGTATAACTGTTCTTACGCTTATCCGTTGATTTTACGCGACCTTTACGTAAGTGTTTGTCGTTTTTATCCGCAAGGGAGACTTTAATCTCGCTGAGGAAACGCGTAGTATTGACTTGAAAGTCTAAATCAAGACTCTTTCTTGGAGCTTTTGAAAATGTCTTCTGCGGTTCATTTGGTTTTTCGTCGTCTTGAATTTGATCAAACTCTTTAGCTGGTGGGCTGAATATAGTTCCTCTATCTGGAGTGCGGGGCAATATTTCCTCGGAATCTTGAACGTTATCKGTCTCTACCTCAGAACTCGAGTAGATCCTCTCCGGTATCAAACGTCGGACAAAGCGYGGTGATARSGGCGCTGAAAATCTCCGTCCCTTTGGAGGTGGAACGTCTAGTAAATTCTTTTTGGAGTCACTGCCGGGAGTTGTGTCTTTTAATTTTATWATTGATCCAGTAGGAAATTGCGCTTTTAGAGTTTCCGCCTCTGTTCCAGTGTAGTCGATGCTTTGGGTTCGTAACTTTTCAAATTGAGTTTTATGTTTCAATATTGTAGTCGAAAGGTCGGGGTTTGTGGTTGAGCGTTGTCGCGTGCTCTCTTTTGGAGGCGGTTTACGGTCCACTAGAGGMGCTAGCAATGTTTTTCCGGATTTAAGACCCGAAGGATGAACACCAGGCTGAATTAAGTTCAAGTCCTCTAATGAAGTCCGATTATGCAGCGGTTGGAAGCCTCTACTTGCCTCGTCTTGCGATTTATCGCTCTTAATCACTTTGGTCGAGTCTATCAATGGCTTATCCTTGGGGCTTATAGATGGTAACTTGTTTGGCTGACTTTCCGTCATGTTCAACAACCTGCCAGYGCGGAATCTTTCCTTAGAAAGCASTTGTGAGCCAGATTCGATCGCTTTCTCACCACTTGTTTGACTCAGTAAGCWGTTTTTTCCCGCAGATTTGTCGCGGAGCGAAAAATCCAAATCTTCAACATTCAGCGAAAATTCATCCATGTTGCTCAAAAGTCTTTCTTTTTCTAGTTGTATTGAGTGGAACTTTATCTCTTGAATTACTAAATGACCTCGATCTTATTCCTCTCSTTCTTAGATGAGCTGATTCGGCAATATGTATGCTAAGTCATGCCACCTGTTTATCAATTGTAGAACTTCGTTTCTCTCTTTTGGTTTTGAAGATTTAAAAATGCTGCTCTTCAGATACTGTCGAATGCGAGAGTAACAGGAATATTGAGCCTTTTTGGGCGCAATACAGCTGCAAACACCGATAGCTAACTTCAGCTTTTGAGACGGTTCTCACTTAAAACACACTCATATCAGTGGGCGATTTGCATCGCAAATGAGCACTCTATTTATCTCCAGGGCTGTGCATTCATTGAATATCAAAAAGCTTCCGTCTTGAACGTGTGGATCTCAGGTCGTCAAGAACTAACACAACTCAAACCACACGTTAAAAATCAACTTTCTGTCTAAAATATTGGCGATTTTCCTATGTAAATGTAGATTTACAGCTAGTTTTTCAAGGTGCTGTTTTGAAAAAATCTAGCCCAGGAATCAATTTATATATTTCCCAATTTGTGATAATTTACGATATAAAMTCGTTTCGTAATTAACCGTGGAAAAGGAAATTTTTTCATCTAATAGAGACCATTATTGGATTCGTTTTAAATTAAATGGTTGTATTTTTCATTCAAAATTCGATCTTTTGTTTGGCAATAACCTTTGTCTTTTTATTTACCCATGTGTAATTGAATACAAGCGCTTTTTCTCGAGGGTTTGCTTGACAGGAACTATTGAAAAAGTGAAGAATTGAAATTGGACGGTTTTAAGGCAAATTGAACCTCAAAGAAATCCTTTTATTTGCGCTTTGTCAGCTAGATTGAGCGTTTAAAAGTAAACTCTAGAGCAAACACATAAAACAGGATTTTGTATGCACATCTGCGCTCATTATAGAAACAGAAAAGTTCAAAAAAATTGCACAAAACATGTATAAACACAATTTGAGGAGAATCTTTTATTTATATCAAAAAGTGTGAAGTACAAAGGTCAGATTTTTTTCCTACTTTTTAAATTTCTTCGACTTTTAATATCTTTATTATTAAGAATAARATGTTCTCTACTTGCCCGCGCTTGAAAWGCKTGACAACAAAGATTTTCTGCAAAATGCATCAATAGAGAAAATCAATACAAAACTGGAGCAATTTTGGCAAATCGGACCAACTCGAACTACACCTTCTTTTCCTGTCATTTGATTTAATTTGTGCGCGCCTTGTGAAGCCTAAATCTTCGAAAGGAAACGAAAAGAAAGAGCGTTTTAATAAACATAAGTAATCCAGCAATTGAGATTTCAGAATTTCAGGATCTTTTCTGCATATCACAAACAAGCGACAAGCGTGATCGCGGCTGTAGTTTTCCCAAGTGACGGACAGATGATAAGATAAGCTAGTAAGATAAACAGTTTAGTAATTTCTTATGATAGGTTCGTCAGCACGATCACGTGAATTCGTGTCAGATGTTCTTAAAATCACGTGATATATAAAGGGGTTCTTCCACAGGMAACCCAAGCCAAGCATTTGACTAGCAGATTTAACGAGAACGATATCTATAATGCATGTAATATGAAGTTTTTGAAAGAAAAATGAGTAAAAAAACATTTGTCTTACCTTTTGATGTGGTTTTAGTTAAGAATTGAGGCGTAATTTGCCGTTTTTCTTTGATATCTCCCCCTCTATACTTATGGCACTGTGGTTAAGATAGACCTCTGAAGCTTTTACGTCACCTACTTTTTTGCCAAAAGTAGAAAACAAAAGAAATTCCCCATGTTTTGTCCCAAACACATCCTACAATGCCTTGCGTATAACGGTATATGACGTAAGAGATTCAGAGGCGTATTGCTACGTGGAAAAATTACGTATGGCTTTGAGTCATATAGGACTGGGACTTTCTCACAGTAAACACGATCTTAGCTTTCGCTGCCTACAGCATCGTCAAGGAAGAATTCCATGTGAAATAAAGGAAGGGATATAGCTGACTGAACCCTCGGGGAAAAAATTATCAAGTTATCTCGAGAGACTTCAAGTGATTAAAATATTTAAAGAATATACGACTCTTAAGCGATATGGCGCCATTTTATTATCAGAATGCTCTATGTCAGATTTTTCATTTCCTCTGTAGATTAGTAATAAGAGATTTGGAGCTAGTTACATTGCAAATTGAAAGTGGGCAAAGCATTTTGGTAGGCGAAGTATATGTTGACATGGTGAGAATCTTCTTTTATATCGCTATAAAATGTTTTAGSGAAAAATGTAAGCCGCTCCCTCTCCCAACAGGAAACGCAACGAAACTTTGTTTTGGGCTCTTTCACAAAGGGAGAAAGTTTGAAAAGGATTTGCCAAAATACTTAAGACTTTTTATCGATTTCTGCAAATGTTATTTGGCAATTTTTCTCCAGCTCGCTAAAAACTATTTGCGCGCTTTTGTCGGGATCAAATAAAATATTGAAATACCCCACTTTATAATCCCTTTTGCGTAGTTTTATCTTATATTTAACCATTATCTTCTTCGCACACAGAGGTTTTTGCATTTAGGGCTTTTAGTAAGGTTGTGTGAATACGATTACAAAGGTTTACTTGGAACAGAAATTCGGAATAGAGTCAACAGATTTAAATGATTTGGACTTTCAGATTGACAACCTTCAGTTTGAATCATTCAATATTGCATAGTGACTAAGTTCTCCAAGAATGCAGTAGCCACAAAAAATAGCTTATATGTGACTTCTAGAGTGAACGCACTTAATCCGTGCAACTGTACAAAATCTAAGTAGTTCTAATTTATACTAAAAGTGGACCTGAAGCAAGACGGTATTGAATGCTTCATTTGTATCAATTCAATTTAATTTGCGTATCGCATGCACGATTTACTAAATACACCTAAACATCACTATTTAGTTTGTACAGTTGCACGGATTAAGTGCGATCACTCTGTATGTTGGATATATTTGTAGGTAAATGAATGCAAGCTTTCTAAATTAGTATTATTTTAGGCTATTTAATGTGAAGATCGCGCAGACCTAACACAGGAAGCGCGTTGATTTTTAGAGAAAACATGAAATCAGTTTTTATTGAGCAATATTTATTAAATATTCATTCATTGAGACAATATTTTCTGAGTATTTTGAAATATTACATCCATTCATTAACTATAATATAAATATTATTAATGTATAACTTAGACAGAATCACACTAAACCACCAACACAGAAGAACTAGAGACTCATTTTAAAATCCATCCTTTCGGTGCAGTTGTTATCAGAGATTTTGAAATATCTCATCCATTCATTAACTAGCATATAAATATGATTAATGTTTAACTTAGAGAGAATCACACTTAACTGCCTACAGAAGAGTATCTACAGACTCGCTTTGAGCTGAAAAATATACCCATTAAATAAGAAAAACAAACTAAAATAATTTAAATCCATTCCTTTCTATGCAGTTCTTTTTTCTTGCATGGATTCTCTGTTTTTATTWTATCAATTATTAGTGCTTTAAGCATTTCGTCTTCCACTCAATTGGGTTTTTGATAACCCTATGTTACTTCAAACCAAAGATATTAAGGATTTTTGGGATCAAAGGTTTTTGGAAGATCTTGCCATATTTTGTAATATTCTGGTTGTAGTTTCTGACAGGTTTCTAATCCCCACTTGGTGACAGCYAAGCTCAAAGATGATTCAAACATAAAAGACTGAAAAAAAGGAGAGAAAAAAAACACTTTCATTAAAATTTTGCCTTCCCATCAGCACCGCGGAGCTGCCATTTTGAAAACATTCATCATATTTAGTCAACTTTAGATATTTTGGTTCGAACTTTTGTTGTTAAGAATTCAACTGTGAAATAAAAATACAACGAACAATGAAACGCATTCGACATGTTGTCAAGGAAAAGTGTCACACGAAAAACCTCTATACGCCTCGGAAACTGAATTTTTGCACAGAGAGAAACTCAAAGCAAGTCTAAGTGCACTTTCCATTTGTCAGAACTGGCTGGCCAGACCCAGAGAAAATGTCATTATATATCATTCCCATTTAGTTAGGAAATTCAAATTTTCAAATTCTATCCATTATTCTACAGAAAACCTCGAAATGACTGAAAAATGTTGATAAAAAGCATTATATACCTCTAAATAGAGTGGACTGGCCGGGCAGTTCTGCCTAAATGGAAAGCACCCTAAATGTATGACAGCTCTACTCAGGGATTACATATTTTTTTTTAAATTTGTTACTAATTTTAATTAAAACTCAATTCTTACCAAGGTGCCTTCAATTTTCACCGGTTTATCGTCAGCGTTGGATGCACCCTCAAAGCATTGTCTGTCAGGGCCGTGGGGGGTCATCATACTATGAAGGCTTGCACCACCAGGCAAGAAACCATCCTCCTTGATAAAAGAATAATCAASACATTATTTATTTCATATCTTACTTGTTCATGTACTTGTTCAAGTATAAAAAACTTTTCTTCAGAGTTTATTCCATATATCAATGTAAGGATTAATTGTTCATGTACAAAAGCATAAAATTACTGGTCTTGTWAATTTTACCTTAGCTTCATATTTTCCAAAAATATTTCCCATAAACTCACTCATGCAGTTCCCTGAAAGAAAGAAGTTCATTCTTTTATGGCTCAGGTCATTTAAACCAACAATCCAGGGTAGTTGTGGATATGCAAGATTGTGATATGAAGATGAAATCAACTTACGGTGATAATATGGTGGTCTAAATGTATTCTCTGCAACTGACCACCGCGGTGGAAATATCACAAAGTCAGCAATGGCTGTGCCTGGTTTATTGCTCTGACAGGTTAAGACTGTAAAAATGGATGGATCCTGGAAAAAAGAAACGTTTGTGTAGATCATTTACCATCCTTATTACAGAAAATAATTCCATCCTAACAAAACCATACCACATGGTCTTTGGTTACAGAGTTTAGTGCCACAAAGTCAGATAGGTTGTATTTATAAGGAGCATAGTTTCCATGCCAGGCAACAACATCAAATGGAGAATGATTCTGAAATGAAGGCATGTATATTATAAATAAAAGTACAACAAGTGCAACATATTTATTAACCTTGGCCAGAATGTTCAAAGCTCAATTAACACTGGGTTAACTCTTCCATATAATCGTTTGATTGCTAAATGTTATTTACGATCCTGGAAACTGTCTGCATGGTTGCCATTTGATTGCTATGATTGTTGGAATCACCATATGATTGCTCAAACAGTCAAAGAAAGACTAAATATTTGATGGTAATGTTCACTAAATTGATGGTGTGCACTGCATGCTGGGATACATCACAATTCTTCAGGATCATAGGGGAGTGTTTCCACGAATTTGCCAGGATAGCTGAAGAAAGGAGTTGCTGAGTTTAGTTGCAAAGCTATATTTACAGCAGAAACCGTTGCATCGTGACTTCAATGTTCAAAGGAAATAGTTGGGGTTTAGGATTTTCTGCRACTTGGGGGCAGAGTTTGATATGATTGAACGAGTTTTCAAAAAGCTCCACCTCTCAGATTGAAAGAAAGAAGAAAATCCAGACAAACTTCAAAACAAAGAGGTCGCGATGCAACGATTTCAGCTGTAAGCATGCACAATTTTCTGCMACTAGAAAATTTTTAATATTTATTTATCGCACATTGCAAGCCTGGATSTGTTTGATAAGGGAGTGTTGCTACCTATCGTTGCTTGCTTCAAAACCTAGTAAAGGTCTATGATGCGATATCAAAACTGAGACCTTTGCTAGTCTTGGGTCGTCTCAATGGTGACAGATTCATAAAGTCAATCACCTGACCAAATAAACAGCCCTTATTAATAGTAATAGTAATAGTAATAGTAATAGTTCATGAATTATCAATAAGTTTTATAAAAATTAATACATTTACCTGTGATGCAGCAAATAGCTTTCCTTGATATTTGGAAACAACAGTAAAATCAGCTTCTCTGTTTTCATACCAAGCTACTGGTGTTTGGAAATCACGTGGGTTGGCAAGACAATTGGCACCTGTCAATCAAATATGACCAAATGTGACTAAATCTTCACTTAGCTGCATCAACAGTCACTTGGTAATAGTGTTCTTCACGGTTCCGTGCGCCATCTTGAAAGGTAACAGTGTCTTTGCATCGAAACGAGACAACCGTTGAGCGTGCATGAATGATAGCAACCTTCTTTCACACCTAAAGACAATTATTCACAGGTATCTATCATTACACGCTCAACGGTTGTCTAGCTTCGATGTGAAGGCTCAAGATGGCACACCTRACTRTGAAAGACACTATTGYTTTAATTAATTTGGCTTTGAAAGAGGTTCTTTGGTCACCCTGTGCCCTGTTGACTCTGCTTGTAAAAGAGACATAAACAARTGTAGGCTTTACCTATTGGGCCAAGATTTGGCAGCTCAAAGTGCCCATCAAAGACCTCAAGAATGTAGCCTCTGGATGCCTCCTCCACCGCTACAGAGAACCGTACACCAAGCTGAAACACAAACAAACAAATTTTAACTTTTGGCAGCAAATATTCTAAAAAGGTCATTGGAGAGAATGGTGGCTGATAATTGTTGAAAAAAAGCTGGTCATGCATAATCAGCTTAGAAATGAAACCAGTGCCTACCTGAATCACACAGATATCAGTTGGTTTGACTTGCATTTTTCCAAACTCTGTTGTCACCAGTAAAGTTCCCTTTTGTGGTACTAAAAAAGGAACAGTTTTAGTCAAAATTATATATCCACATCTCTATAACCGCTGCGTATAGCTTAACAAACATCTTGGAAATTCACCTACCAATAAGAAAATCACCATCAGAGCTGTAAAGACACCTAAAAGGAGAAAATAAGATGTCAAGGAATTTCTTGGAAAGATAACTTGCAGTAAAAWAAACCCAGGGGGGGAGRCGGGGGGTGTACTCCCCTATATTCGCTATACGGGGACGTGTGTGGCCAACCAGGGTATAGTTTTCAGCGATTTCTCTCTGGAACAGGGTCAGGGTTCCGAGGTCCCAGCTGCACACCCCCACCCAAGTTGGGGAGGTAGTACTCCCCCCCCCCAGGCAAAAAATCAAGTCAAAAGTGAAGTCAAAAAAGGTTGCTTACTTGTTGTTCATAGAGACATTACAAGAGAAAACATAAACAGCAATGCCATGACGACTGCGAGTATCTCCTGCACCGCAAATTGTTTTTAAACCCTGCAATATAAAACAAGGACAAACATATTACACTGCCATCCAAGAAAGCAATCTCTCCAACAGCCGTTACTTCCAGTTTTGTTTACATTGACAAGAAGCCTGACAAAAGGAGAAGATGTGAAAGGACACTAAGAACACTTTGTAACAAATGGAATTTATTGACCATTCTAGTTACAGGTAAAAATATCAATGAAAGTGATGCAGAGGTTTTTTGTTTTTGTTTTATTTTAACCTTTTAATTTACACGGCATTTAATTTAGTTCACATGTTAAAGTTATACCTCGGTGTAAGTGACTTACTTGAACAAAATCCACAGTGCTGCCTTCTTCTGGAAGATCAAAGGGCTTCCAGCGCATCTAATATTAAAAAAAACGTGTGTAGTCAGTTCTCTGCATGCACATTTATTCACAAATTAAATTTTTATTAATTCCATCCATT